GAAATCTCCACACTGTCTTCCACAATGGTTGAACTAATTTACACTCCCACCAACAGTGAAAAAGCATTCCTATTTCTCCACATCCTCTCCAGCATCTGTTGTTTCCTGACTTTTTAATGATTGCCATTCTAACTGGTATGAGATGGTATCTCATTGTGGTTTTGATTTGCATTTCTCTAATGACCAGTGATGATTAGCTTTCTTTCATATGTTTGCTGACCGCATAAATGTCTTCTTTTGAAAAGTGTCTGTTCATATCTTTCGCCCACTTTTTGATGGGGTTGTTTGTTTTTTCTCCTGTAAATTTGTTTAAGTTCTTTCTAGATACTGGATATTAGCCCTTTGTCAGATGGATAAATTGCAAAAATTTTCTCCCATTCTGTAGGTTGCCTGTTCACTTTGATGATATTTTCTTTTGCCATGCAGAAGCCCTTTAGTTTAATTGAATCTCATTTGTCAATTTTGGCTTTTGTTGCTATTGCTTTTGGTGTTTTAGTCATGAAGACTCTGCCCATACCTATATCCTGAATGATACTGCCTAGGTTTTCTTCTAGGGTTTCTATGGTTTTATGTCTTAAGTTTAAGTCTTTAATCCTTCTTGAGTTAATTTTTGCATAAGGTGTAAGGAAGGGGTCCAGTTTCAGTTTTCTGCATATGGCTAGCCAGTTTTCAAGACAGGGTAGCCCTGTTGCCCAGGCTGGAGTGCAATGATGCAATCATAGTTCACTGCAGCCTCAAACAGCGAGACTCAAGCCCTCCTTCCACCTCAGCCTCTGAGGAGGTGGGTCTACAGATATACACTACTATACCTGACTACTACTAAAAATGGTGTACTTGTACAGGACACTTACCATGAGTGAAGCTTGCAGGACTGGAAGTTGCTCTGAGTGAGTCAGTAAGTGAGTGGTGAATGAATGTAAAGAGCTAGAACATTATGGTATACTACTGTAGGCTTTATAAATACTGTATACTTAGGCCAGGCTACATTTATTTTTGTTTTATTTTCTTTCTTCAATAATAAATTAGCCTTAGCTTACTATAATGTTTTTACTTTAT